TATCTGTTTAATTGGAGCTGGGAGTAGAACCTAGTCTTCTGAGTTCCAGGCAAGTAAAATTGGATGTTTTTTATTTTAATTTTTTTAAAAGTTTATTTATCTATTTTGACAGAGACAGCACAAGTAGGAGAGGGGCAGAGAGAGGGGAGACAGATTCCCAAGCAGGCTCCGCACTCTCAGAGCAGAGCCCAGGGCGGGACTCAAACTCACAAAATCGTGAGATCATGACTTGAGCCAAAACCAAGAGTCGGATGCTTAACTGGCTGAGCCACCCAGGTACCCCTGGATATTTTTTTTAATAATTTAAAACTTAATACTCCTTAAGTATTAGCAATACTCCATACGTACTATTTTGGGAAAAAGGGGCAAGTAAATGAGAAAAAGGCTTCAACTTCAAGGGCAGCCAGAATTAAAGCAGTTTTTTTTTTTTTTAAACCAGATTTACCATATATAAGGTTATGGATCACCTAAAGGCCAAGATTGTTATTCATCATTGTTGTTCATTTGACTTTTGGCAAAGTATAATGAATATTATTTTTTAGTGTAGTGGAAAGAGAAAAAAATTCTTTTTAGAGCCAATTAACCTCTCATGCTGACTCTTAACAGTGGGAATATGGCTCGTTGGTTAGGGAACCATCTTGGATAGGCTACTTCAGATATAAATAAGAGCTTTCAAGGCACTACTTGAAATAGGAATAAAATAAATAAGTTATTTTCTCGAATACATTTATAACTTTCCAAGGCATTTGGGGAAAAAGGCATGATGAAGAGAGGAAAATAGGAGGCTGAACTTTTAGCAAGATTTGAACACAGGACTTGGGATGAGACATGTGAGGATGGCAGAGACTCTTTAAGAACAAGGATATATATGATCTACTCTTACATTAGACACTGCAATGCTGAGATAAAACCCTCTCTCATTGCCCATCTCCTGTCCGCTGCTGCAAAAACTTCATTGAGTATCTGCTACATGAACTTGTGTTGATGGCGCTGTGGGAGTTGGTATAGGTGGTGGGGAGGAGATGTGGAGAAGCCAGGAAACCAGGGAGGCAGAGCAGAATATAAACCACACTAGCCCCTTCCACAACTCTCCCCACCAGAAAAAGAGAAACGATATTGTAAGAAGTATCCTATGATATTAGGATAAAAGTGTTCTTTATTTAAATCTTAATGGGCAGTGAAAGGTTGGGACACCCGGGCAGCTGATGTTTGAGTTATAATAACTTACTCACAGACAACAAGTTCCTAGCCGATCCTTATAACAGGCTGTGAGTGTAACAATTCCAGCCATCCTGAGATCAACAGAAACTGACTGCATGTATCGACCAACTTTGCTGGTGAGCCTGCCCTTACTAGAGCTTCAGAGGCTGATAATTGGCAGGCCTCCCGTTTTGGGTCATGCTGTCACTGTCTGGCTTTTCTCACGAGATTATTGTGCAATTCTGACATAAATCTGTCCAATGAAGTAATATCAAACTCTATTGAATCTCTAGGTATATTATTGAAATATGGGGGTAATGTCCAAAATTTTACACATTAAATCATATTTTCCTATTAATTTTGGGCATAAAATCAGAGATATTTCTCTAAGGAAATGATAAACCCAGGATTTAAAAAAAGGAAGTCATACCTAAAAATCCTAGTCTAACATAAAGTTTGCTTTTGTTACCCTATTTCTTTAATTCTACTGCATATTTTCTACAACAGCTTCTTTAAATGTCCACTTGATTCTTTTTACAAAACGGGAATATCTTTTCTACTATAATCCATTAAAACCACTGTTAACTATAATCCATTAAAACCACTGTTACTGGAATCCCTAATTATATATATCTTTAAATACAAATATCTATCTCACAGGTTTGTTATAAAGGATTAAATGAGTTAACAGATGTAAAGACACATAGTAAGTACTATATGTTAGATACTTTCTTCTTTACACATACACATTTCTACATGAATCCTTCTATACTAAACACATAATGGATATCTTTGCCTATCGATACATTCTTTTTTTTTTTTTCTGTAATAGTGGCTTTTATACCACCTTCATTTAATTTAATTTTTTTTTTTTTACAAATAGTTTATTGTCAAATTAGTTTCTACATAACACTCAGTGCTCATCCCCAAAGTGCCCTCCTCCATGCCCATCCCCCCCTCCCCCCCACATCCATCAGTCCTCAGTTTTTGTCAGCATTCAAGAGTCTCTCATGGTTTGCCTCTCTCCCTTTCCCCCACCATTTCCGCCCTTCTTCTCCCCCTTGGTCCTCCGTCAAGTTCCTCTTAATCCTCCTATACGTGCAAACATATGATATTTGTCCTTCTCTGCCTGACTTATTTCGCTCAGCATAACACCCTCAAGGTCCATCCATGTTGCTACACATGGCCAGATTTCATTGTTTCTCATTGCCATGTAGTATTCCATGGTATAGATAAACCACATCTTCTTGATCCATTCGTCTGTTGATGGACACTTAGGCTCTTTCCATGTTTTAGCTATTGTGGAGAGTGCTGCTATGAACATTGGGGTACATGTGCTCCTATGCCTCAGCATTTCTGTATCCCTTGGGTAAATTCCTAGCAGTGCTATTGCTGGGTCATAAGGGAGTTCTATTGTTAGTTTCCTGAGGAACCTCCACACTGTTTTCCAGAGGGGCTGTACCAGTTTACATTCCCACCAACAGTGTAGGAGGGTGCCCGTTTCTCCACATCCTCGCCAGCATCTAGAGTTCTCTGATTTGCTCATTTTAGCCACTCTGACTGGCGTGAGGTGGTATCTCAGTGTGGTTTTGATTTGTATTTCCCTGATGAGGAGGGATGCTGAGCATCGTTTCATGTGTCTGTTGGCCATCTGGATGTCCTCTTTGGAGAAGTGTCTGTTCATGTCTTCTGCCCATTTCTTCACTGGGTTGTTTGTTTTTCGGGCGTGTAGTTTGGTGAGTTCCTTATAGATTCTGGATATTAACCCTTTATCTGATATGTCATTTGCAACTATCTTTTCCCATTCCGTTGGTTGCCTATTAATTTTCTGGGTTGTTTCCTTGGCTGTGCAGAAGCTTTTAATCTTGATGAGGTCCCAACAGTTTATTTTTGCTCTTGATTCCCTTGCTTTTGGGGATGTGTCAAGTAAGAAGTTGCTGCGGTGGAGGTCAAGGAGGTTGTTTCCTGCTTTCTCCTCTAGGGTGTTGATAGTTTCCTGTCTCACGTTCAGGTCCTTTATCCATTTTGAGTTGATTTTTGTGCATGGTGTGAGAAAATGATCTAGTTTCATTCTTCTGCATGTTGCTGTCCAGTTCTCCCAACACCATCTGTTAAAAAGGCTGTCTTTTTTCCATTGGATATTCTTTCCTGCTTTGTCAAAGATCAGTTGGCTGTATACTTTTGGGTCCACTTCTGAGTTCTCAATTCTGTTCCATTGGTCTATGTGTCTGTTTTTGTGCCAATACCATACTGTCTTGAGGATGACAGCTTTGTAGTAGAGGCTGAAGTCTGGGATGGTGATACCTCCCGTTTTGGTTTTATTTTTCAGTATTACTTTGGCTATTCGGGGTCTTTTGTGGTTCCATACAAATTTTTGGATAGTTTGTTCTAGTTTTGAGAAGTATGCTGGTGCAATTTTGATTGGAATTGCATTGAATGTGTAGAGTGCTTTAGGTAGTAATGACATCTTAACTATATTTATTCTTCCTATCCATGAGCATGGAATGTTTTTCCATTTCTTTGTGTCTTCTTCAATTTCCTTCATAAGTTTTCTATAGTTTTCATCATACAGATCTCTTGTATCCTTGGTTAGGTTTATTCCGAGGTATTTTATGGTTTTTTGTGCAATTGTGAAGGGGATCAGTTTCTTGATTTTCTGTTGCTTCATTGTTGGTGTATAAAAATGCAACCGATTTCTGTACGTTGATTTTGTACCCTGCAACTTGGCTGAATTCTTGGATCAGTTCTAGTAGGCTTCTGGTGGAGTCTGTCGGGTTTTCTATGTAGAGTCGATACATTCTTTTTAATGGCTACAGAACTTCATGGTAAAATGATTTAATTCCTGATCAATGCATATTTAATATATCTATGTATCTATATTCTATTTCAAACACTGCTGCACTATATACTTCTTCATACTTGTGTCTTCACTTGTGACAATCTTCTGTAACACAAATTACACACACACACACACACACACACACACACAAAGAACTAGGCCTTGAGTTATGCTTAAAGATACAGCATAGATACAGCAGAGGAGGAAATAAAGTCTGAAGACTGAGAGGGAATAGTCAATTAAGTAAGGAGATCCAAGACAGCATAATGGCTAGGATATCAAGTGAAAATGTTTCAAGGAGAAAGATGGATTGATAGCATCAAATACTGAAGAGCAATCACAAACACTGAGGAATAAAGGGCTGTTACATTGGACAATTAGGAGTGGAGAAAGCCATTTCAGTGTAGTAATTGGGCAAGACACAGACTGTAAAAAGGAGAGGAAAGAAATATGCAACTAGTCTGTATGATTCTTTAAGAAGTTGATACATAACAGGAAAGAAAAACTAGAACAGTAGCTCTCAGAAGTAGAACATGCAAGTTAAAGTCAAGAAAAAATAGCAAGAAACATTCATTGAGATAAAGAGCTGACAGTTCACCTACAACTACATTTTAAAACATCTGATTAGGGGAGCCTGGCTGGCTCAGTTGGAAGAGTGAGTGACTCTTGATCTTGGGGTCTGTGAGTTCAAGTCCCACAGTGGGTGTAGAAATTACTTAAATAAGTAAATAATAAATAAATAAATAACCTGATTAATATTTTACTTAAATGAACTCATTCCTAGAACTATGAAAGTTTAAAAACAATGTTTAAAAGTTGAATAGGCCCATACATACAAGATACATACATAAAGGTCATTCTTAAGGCAGCTTATTGCCAGAAAAAGTTTAGACCACATACAACTGCATCTGTTATTTGAAAGAGAAATATTAAGAGAAAAAAGTCTGAGACACTGTTTTAATGGGAAGAGCATTCATTTTAATTATGCTTCAAGATGTTACAGAGCTAGAAATTAACAAATTTCAGTTGTTATAAAATAGATTATCAATATTCAATCATTAATACAACCCAAGTAAATGAAACATCACTTCATACAAGGCTCAGATACTCTAAAATCTATCTTCACACATGTACTACAATATGATAAATATTAAAAATTATAATGCAAGGAAAAATACTACAAAAAAATACAATTGCTATAGACCCTTGCATGAATGTTCTTTGTTTTTAAAGTTCTGCCTTAGGAAATAATACCATGCTATACTGACAAAAGTAAACTACGTTCCTTGAGGTTACAATGTTCAACAATACACTAGATGCACTCTAAAATACTATGTCAGACAAGAATCAAAAGAGGGACAAAGAAGGCCTTCAATGATGTTGAGAGAGGAAAAAAGAGAGGAGTAATAATTTTTGTATGCTGATTTCTGCTAGAACGGCCTCATTCAACAATTTATACCACTGTGGAAGATAGGAAAAAGAAGGGAACCAGTCTCAGCTTTCCATAAAGGATGTCCCAATCAGCACAAATTCAGGCAATTCTAAAAGGCACTGTACCCAATACTCTCCACTCTTCAACTCTGTACAGAAACTCTTTGTCCTATATCCATATCTAATTTCTTCACAAGGATTTACCAAGTATACATTCTGTTTTCTATCATCCAACATCCAAACCAAAAGGCATTAAGCAAAACAACAGACTATAAGTCAAGTCAGCTTGAAAGACACAAGTTTTGGTTTAGATATTAATCGTGACATTTAGATATATCCTCCCTCTTCACTGGACCTTTACATATTGATTCCGATCCTCAACTGTGTGGCAATAAGAAGTTTTAAGATTTTTTTTCTGTCACTCATCAATGATTTGCCTGTTGCCAAACTTCTTGGCAGCAATGTCAGGAATTGTTACGAATGCTTGGTCAGAACAAAAAGGAGGTGATCAGTGAATTAGTATAACCTATCATAGTGGGCTTCTACAGGTAGACAGGAAGACTGCCTCACAGATCTCCTGCATTCATTTCAGAAGGGGAGAAAAGTGGGGCTTAAAAAGGAAAGGAAAAACATTAGGTAAATTTGAAATACAGTAAGGTATTAATACTGTAGTAATAGCAGGGAAGGAAATTCTGACTGCCAACCTACCTTTGGGGAAGCTTCCAGCATAAAAATCAAACTTTCTCTCCCATTATTCTTGAGCTGCTTTACTTCAAGAAGGGCAGAACACAACACTTCTCTTCAAAAGTAGGAAATTTCTTTTTGAAATTAGCAATCGAGAAAGGAAGAAAAGGTAGGGAAAATTCACTCAAAGAGGTCCTCAAACATGCGTTGTCCCATTGCTATGTACGCTTCCTTCTCCTCTGGTGTCATCTGGGCCACTAGCTCTGGCCGCTGGCTCACTTCGCTGTAGGAGAATGGTCGGCCAGCCACCATAACAACAGGGTCATCTGCTACTTCCTCAAACTCATCGTCCTCCTCCTCATCCTCGTCCCGATGATGTGCTGCCACAGCTGCTGGTCGAGGTGGGGAGTCATCGTCTGACTCACTGGTCTCGCTCTCCGAGTCACTGCCATTGGCAGCGGTGACGGGAGCAGCCGCCCCCACTGAGCCTGCTGCGGCAGAGGGGGTCTTCTTCTCATGAATGAGCAGTGCTCGCATGACCTCCTCGTTATCATCTGGCCCTGCACGGCCCTCCTCACGCTCCTGAAACGCATCTATATCTATGCCACCTGGAAGTGAAAACCCAGAAAATCAACATCCTTAAATATAAAAGGCATTCTTTTATAATAAAATATATAATATTTAAGTATGGTATATTATAAAGTAACACAGACTTCACTGGTTCCAGTTTTTGAGTAACTGTCCATCAAGAGATTCAAAATGTTTCTCACAAACTGGAATTTAAGTAGTATGGTTTTAGTGCATGGGTCTGCATTCAAATAGTCTGGATTCGAATCCTGGTTCTTTTACATGCAAGCTACACTGCTTTGGGCAAGTTTTTAGTCTCTCAACTTTGGCACCTTTTCTTGTAAAATGGAGTGATAAAAACATCTATCTGGATAAGAACAAATGTAATTATGTCCATGAAGGACCAAGTACAGTAGCAGGCAAGATAGGAAATCACAAACATGGCTTCTCATCTTGCTTAGAAAGTAAAAGGCCAAAGCTTTGCAATAGTCTATAAAGTCCTACATTATCTGGAACCCCTCCTGCTCACTTACTTACCTCTTCTCTTTCCCTTTGCTCATTCTGCTGCAGTCGTAGTAGCCCCCATGATATGCCCTGCATATACCACACTCACTCCTACCTTAGGGCCTTTGTACTGCCCATTTCCTCTACTTGGGATATTTTTCCTCTATGTATCCACATAGCTGAATCTTTCACATCTTTTATGTTTTCATTCAAATGTTGCCTTCTTTTAATTCACCCCATCCTATACTCCCAATGCTCTCTTCTTTTCCCCATAACACTTATCTTTCAACATAATAATTTATGTCTATTGTCTTTGTCATCTCCTTTCCCAGGATGTAGGTTCTCCACAAACATATATTTATTTTTTTTATTCAATGATATATTCCCTGCACCCCAAATAGGGGCCATCACTTATTAGGCACTGAATGAATATTTGATGAATGAGTGAATAAATGCAGCTTTATTTTTCTGAAACAAACTAAGGATACTTTGAACTCTTTATAACAAGGAATCTAGTATGAAGAATGAAGCTTCTCTCACCACACACCTCCTATCATTTTGTGTACACACCATGCCTGAAAAACTACAAACAAAAAAATAAAATCATTTGTATTCTGTATTCTGAACACCAAATACACCACCATTAAAAAATATATAAAAGAATTGGGGACACCTGGGTGGCTCAGTTGGTTGAGTATCCAACTCTTGATTTTGGCTATGGTGGAGATCTCATGGTTTGCAGGATTGAACCCCATGTCGCAGAGCCCGCTTGGGATTTTGTCTCTTTTTTCTCTCTGCCCCATTCCCCTGTTTGTGTGTGCACTCCCTCTCTTTAAAAATAAATAAATGAACATTAAAAATTTTTTAAAAAAACATGGGGCACCTGGGTGGCTCAGTTGGTTAAGTGTCCGACTTCAGCTAAGGTCATGATCTCACAGTCTGTAGGATCAAGCCTGACATTGGGCTCTGTGCTGACAGCTCAGAGACTAGACTTGTTTCAGATTCTGGGTCTCCTCCTCTCTCTGCCCTTCCCCTGGTCACACTCTGTCTCTGTCTCTCTCAAAAATAAAATAAACATTAAAAAATTTTTTTAAATAATAAAACATAGAAGATTAAAACTATTCTTTGGAACCAAACTCTCTGATTCAAATCTTGATTCTTAACACTTATTAGCTGTATGATTTTGGCCAAGTTACTTCATCTCTCTCTGCTTCAATTTTCTCAAGTATAGAAAGGGAAAAAACAATAGTACACACCTCACTGGATAATTGTAGGGACTAAGTGAATATCTGTGAAGTGCTTAGAATAAACCTGGCACTTTGATTAGTGTTATCTATTATCATCATCAATAATAAGAAGCCCAGAAATGGGGCACGTGGGTGGCTCAGTCAGTTAAGTGTCTGTCTTGGCCTTAGGTCATGATCTCACATTTACTGGGCTCCACACAGACAGTGCAGAGCCTGCTTGGGATTCTCTGTCTCCTTCTTTCTGCCCCTCCCCCAATCATGCACAGGCGCATGCTCTCTCTCTCAAAACAAGTAAATAAACTTAAAAACAAAAAAACCAGAAATGACCAATTCTGTCCATGAATGAGGTGAAAGCATCTTCTCATTAACACATCAGAATGGCTTAGTGTAATCCTAGACAATTTAGAAAGTGTAGAATTCCTGAGAGAAGAGATTGGGCAACTAAGAGACAGAAAGGGAAACAGGAACTGAGAAGTTAAAAGTTCAAGTTAGGGGCACCTGGGTGGCTCAGTTGGTTAAGTGTCTGACTTCAGCTCAGGTGATGATCTCACGATTTGGGGGTTCGAGCCCCACATCAGGCTCTGTGCTGACAGCTAGCTCAGTGCCTGGAGCCTATTTTGCATTCTGTGTCTCCCTCTCTCTCACCCTCCCCTGTTCACACTGTCTCTATTTCTCTCTCAAAAATAAATAAAACTTAAAAAAAAAAGTTCAAGTTAGAGAAAATAGGCTTTTGATAACATGGATGTAAAAATGAGAATTAAAGACAAACTTCACTACTTTAAAATACTGCTGAAGGCCGAGGCTCCCCCTATTGCAGTATTTCAACAGGGGAGAAAAAGACAAGGAACTGTCCCTCAGGCAATCATTGCTTTGATAAGAACTTTCCAATAAGCTTAATCTTACTGACACAGCATTTTGATTAATATTTAAAGTAAATATGAAATTAGGGGTAAAGCACTTAATTTTTGTAAACCAAATAGTCATATCTAAAAGATATATGACAAGTGTCTTGAGAGGTTTGAGGAAAAAAGGAACCATTCTGTTACAGATGAAGACAGAAAGAAAATAAGGATAAATGAGCAAATTTCTGGATGGTAAAGTAGAAACACTAGTTCTAGGCACAGTCTTATTTAATAGAGTTATAAATTACAAAGAAGACATATATTAACAAGAAACTGTCAAGTTCACTGATGATGTAAGTAATTCTGGACGCTTAAAGGCCAACCTGGTGGCAAAAAAAATAAAATATAAAAATACATAGGAAGAGCTGAAAGTTGTATAAGTGAGCAGAAAACTGGCAGATTTCTTTCTATACTGGCAAGTGTAAGAAAATCTGCCTACAGAACAATAATCTAAAATATATTGAAAGACCAGGTCCAAGCTATCTGACACAGGGCAGGAGAGGGTCTTTAAAAATCCCTGCACGTGTTTCTGAAGTTGTTGGTCTTAATATGCTTTTAGACCCAGAGCAACAAGTAAAGCATCAGGTAAAAACCAGGATACTGGAGGTAAAACTCAAGTCATTAATGATGAATCTATGCATGGACAACATGTTTTGTTCTGGTTACTGGATCTCAAGTAATATCATGGTGGGAAAAGGTCCAGAAAAAGAATTAAATAAAACAAAAAATGTAGATGGAGGTGGCTTGGGGGAAGAGGACTCTTTGTAAGGAAAGCAGCTTTTAGTATAGTAAAGAGCATATGATAAAGTCTATAAAATTCTGAGGCCTGGAGCCTGCTTCTGATTCTGTCTCTCCCTCTCCCTCTGCCCCTCCCCCATCACACTCCGTCTCTCTCTCTCTCTCAAAGATAAATAAACATTAGAAAACGAAAGTGTTGGACAAATAAGACTCACTTTACACATTCACTAGATAGAGCCTATTCTATCATTAAAACTTAAAGAAGACAAATTTAGACATCTTGTATCCTAATTTATATAGAAAGAAATATTCACAGATCTGAATTGGGTGGACTATGACTTTTTAAAGGCCCTTAGGATTCAAATTCTATCATTCTAGGAACTGAAAACATCGAATGTTAAGCTTATGAGCCTAATTACATATGATATGGGCTAACGATTGTTTTATTTTATTTGATTTTGTTTCTAAGTTCAAAGAAAATGTTTGGTAGCTTTAAGAACAGGCAAGAGGCCAAGTTGGAGAAAACAAGCCTCCTCAATAGTTGACAGCCTCATTCCTATATAATCTAAAACAATTTGAATCAAAATAACTAAACATTAGAGCCAAGCTAATCAGCAGGAAGGAGAGTGCAGTATTGTTACCAAGAAAAACTCTTTTTCCGACTGGATTTCAAACACCAAACAGAATCACAGTAGAGCATTACTTGATTTTACCATCACCACCCAACTCCACACTACTTTTTAATTACTAGCATACACAGTATGCTAAAATTAGTAAAGAAATGCTAATCATAAAGGGAAAAATGGTTAGAGAAATACCAAAAAAAAACAAGTGGTTTTCAGTTACTGATCATTCTTTACTGTTCCAGAACAATACTCAAGTGATATGTTAGAAATGATACATAATCTGGGAATAGAACCACATAGATTCTAATGCGAATGAAACATAACCAGAGGAACAGACTCCCTTTCATCTCTGCTTCCCAGTTTCTAAGTAATCTCATTCAGCCTGAGTCTCGTATTTTTGATATACTCCCAAAGATCACCACCCAAAGTCTTTGAATCCTTAAAGTTTTAATAAGCAAAATGCTGTAGTTCTCAAACTGCTGGTTATTATGTAATTCTCAACCCTTTATGGATCACTGAGATTTCTAAAATCAATATGGAGTTCTGTCAATCTTCTTGGATGGAAAGAATCCTTAAGCCTTTACTCAGGTACTTCTTTTATATATTTCAGATAGCACAAACTCCTTAGTGTTCATGAGGAGACAACATATAGAAGTTTAGACTAGTATACAGTTTTGGCTCCTAACTCAGAGAAATAAAAAGGCATAAAAGTTAGGGCAACAAAAGAACAAAGAAGAGGTGAATTTGGCCACTTGGAATGTAATATAGCACTTTCCCACAAAAATAAGACAATGAAATGGCAATTTCTTAAAGCTAAGAATGGAGATTTTAAAAATGTTTTATTATTTCAACCAACTGGAAGGGTAATACAAATATATATATCGTTGGTTTTAATGTTTATTGCTTAATTTCTTACTTCCTGCTATAATGCACGTTTTATAAAACAAACATAATTGAGTTACCAATAAAACTAAGAACTGCCCACTAAGGCAAGTTCATTTTCTACTGAACCCAATACATTCGTTTTACTGACTTCTACTCTTACCTTCTTTCATCTCTTCAGAATTATATGCTCCTTGGACAGTGCTCTCTCTCAACCAAATAGGTCTCTCTTTGGCAGATTTCCCCTCTAGTGAGGCTCGATGATCTTCTTGGTCATCCATGTTAATGACAACATTCTGAGTGTATAAGTCCTCATAGGAGGGACCTTTGGTGGCCCACGCTTCCCGGTGGTGCCCAGCTGCCAGGCCAGCGGCTCCAGCAGTAGTTGCTGCACGGTCCTTGCTATAAAAAAGATTGGAAGAAAAAGTAAAGTCTTAGTGCTGGGAAACAAGTGCAGCTGGGGGGTAGTTACTGAAGAATTACAAGTAAGAGCTGTCTAGCAATCATGCACACATGCTTAAACAATTCTGAGAAACTTCCTTACAACTCAGGGTATCATATTTGTATTTAACTTCCTCAAACACTGGAAGTAAGAGCTGTCTAGCAATCATGCACACATGCTTAATTAAACAATTCGGAGAAACCTCCTTACAATTCAGGGTATCATATTTGTATTTAACTTCCTCAAACAGTGGATCACCTGGTGTATATATAAATTAATGAGGTCTCATAATTTAAAATGTTTCAGTAAATCTACTTAAGGAGAGGGGAAAGTAATAAAAGTGACATAATTCACTTATTAAAGACACAAATCTGGCAAAAATGCCCCCGTTACACCTTTCATGAGTACTGTGTTTAAAAACAAAAAAACCCTAAACAAACAAAACAGATTACATTTTTAAAAACTCTCTCACCTGAACCAAAAATGATTCAGAGTGGTTCTGGGTGTTTTTCTCTTTGTGTGCTAAGAAGCTAGCAAAGTATTCTACAAAACCAGCCTTACCTTAGAATTAATGTTCCTCTCCTGGTATTCACCAAATAAGGCATATCATTATGCACAATTAACCTCTTTTCTACTGAGCTGTATCTTTCCATTTCTGTACCTATGCTGACTCTCGTATCTATCCCCAACCATTATTTCTACCCTGCAGTAATCATGATCTATTTCTCAGTCTATTTTGTTTTGCTTTTTACCTCTGCCACCTATGATCTTTTTAGCCTGTTCCAGGCATGATCATTCCTTATTTTTCTCTAGTCAACTATATCCTTGTCCTTATCTGTCTCTCCTTCATCCAGACTCTTAAATGATTCACTCTTGCTGAAGCTACTGTTTCTCTCTATAAAATCTACAACACATAGTATTCATCTATGCTATATCTTTAGCATCATGTCTGAAGACTATCTTCTGAAGGTCAGCAAGTATTCAGTACTTGAGTAGAGAAGAACAAGAAGAGTGAAGAAAAAGAACAGGACATTTAATACAAATGTTAGCAGGAGATTACTTTTAAAAAGTCTTTTTTTTTTTTTTTTCAGTACTTCATCATGGAAACTCACTCCAGTTTGAAGCAGGAGGTATTTGACCACAAGTTAAACAAATTTTTTAATTTGGAAGAATTTTTTGTAAGGTATTTTTAACCAGGGAGAATTAATTGCACAGATTTTTATCTCGACCTTCACCACAGTTACAGACAAATCTAAATTATCAGCAAAGTGACACTGAAGATAATCCAGATGAGAGACAGGTAGGTTCACCTCTTCTGTATATTTAAATTTCTTCTATGGAAAAAAATGTACACATTCTACTTAAAGATGACAAAAGTGACAATTCAGTTTTGAATCTTTTTACATTATTTAAGAAATTTTAGAACTTTCAAGACATATAACTCACTCAGGGGTGAGGGAGAACTATTACTCAAATTAAAAATTTAAAGATCTTTAAGGTGAATGTTAGGTAACAGATGACAAAAAAAAAGGAGAGATTACTGAAAAGAATTCCACTTAAGAAAGACAGAAAGACTTTAAATATCACCAATGGGTTGACTTGCTGAAAGGCTGTGACTATCCATCAGCTCTTAGGTTTTAGCCTTTGGTTTTCTAACCTGGGGATAAGCTAGAATTTAGTTGGTTACAGATCATTAACCAAACTAAGTGAAGTCACTTTTTTAAAAATCAATGAATTAGTATTATCTCTGAGCTCTCATGCCACTCCACTGATATTTCTTTTCTTATGCCTAAGGCAAAATAGCTATTACAGAACCATTATCCTCTGAAACAGATTGTACAGTACAGAAAGGCTAACTCCATACCACTTTCAAGATGTCATACATATCCAGGCAGTGGAGCTTGTCAAATGCTTGGTGAGGCCATCTCCACCAGGGTAACACCTTCTAACCTAGTTCCAATAATCCTTCTCCTGACCACATGGAAACAACTGGACTTTGATTTGGCTGGCAGCTCCAGGTATCCCATCCTCTCTTGCCTGCCTCTATTTCTGCCTTTCTTCCCTAGTGACCAACCTGTTGGATAGCCTTTCCTGGTTGTTTATTTCCTCTATTTCCTGATCCTTCTTCATCCCTGAAGTTACTATCATTTCTAAGTAGAAACCAAGTGACTAGAAACAGAGCTGCTGTTGGGCCTCTAGCATCACTGTACCACTAAGACTTGTCTCTGGCATGAAGTGAGGGATATCTAAATAAGGGTCCTGGAATGGGAGATGAATTATGGTAGGAAGGGAATATTAGAAGCAAGATGTCAGTGGTGGTGGTGAATGAATGCTATTGTAGTGGGAAAGCATCTTCATAAACGGGAAAATAACTGTAGTCAGAGGTGGAAACAAAAGAATAATTCGCAGATAGTATTACATTGTGGTAAAAACAATTAAGAGAATGTTGAGGCATATTGCAACCTGAAATAAACCAGAGGCTTAGAAAATTTTATGTTTTTGTAAAATCAATTTTCCTCATAGGCTTCTACGTCAGAGTTACAGTATTACTCACGTCAACAGAAAAAGATATACAAAATAAACTCTTGATAAGAGACCAATGACCAGTAATAAAAATTGAAGGCTATCTGTGATGTGGATGGTATTAGTTGCCTACCAACTGCGGTTTCTCTCTTTGCTTATTGGCCTTATTCAAATACAGATGGCTGTTTGCTCCAAAGGATTCAGGGACCTTCCTCAGCCCTAGGAGGTAAACCTCAACTAATCTAAGTACCAATCATGTGATCTCACTTCCTTTGCCAGATGCTGGGTTAGAAATAAACATATAAACAATTCTGGCTAGTGAGACATACAGGATAGAGCAGGATGAAGGTTGTCCTCTGGGAAAGCCTTCTTCAATCTTCAATCTTAAATAAAAACACCAGGAAGAAACAGTTCTACATTTGGACATTTCTTCTGCATGTGATACCTAGAAAGACACAGCCATCTTAGGCTAGCTCCCCTCATGGTCCCAAGAGGACAACCCACAGGCTGAGTGCAGCAGAGTATAAATATGAAACAAATCTAGATCCTTGAGGATGTAATGGAGCTGTGAAATTAATTGAACCGTACCACCTCAGCACTTCTGGTCATACTAGACAGGTTTTTCTTATTGTTCAAGCTACTTCTCGTTTGGTTTTCCGTTATCACAGGTAAAGGCATCCTAACTGATCCATGATGCCAGACTAGAAAATTCATAATAACATATAGATACAAAAGTTTCTGCACAATTAAATTGTTTTTAACTATCCAAAAGAAACTCAATTTGCTCAGGACTCCCAGAACTGACTTTTCTATAACATTAGTACCAGAGCATACAAAATACTGAGAGAGCTCCTGAAAAGCATAGTTACAATACTGGGTGCTACGCAAGGATATAAACTCCAAACCCTCAGCTGGACGCTAGAAAGGAGAAAGAAAAGGGATAGAGTAGGAGACAGTCCCTGACCCCAGTTCACATTTATGATTTTCTTGAAAGAATATAAACTACTTTCTGTAGTATGCCAAAACTAAGGCTGCTTCTGTAATTCAAACATTAGGGTATACTAATAAAAACAGGGAGACATAGTAAAAAAGTATTAAGCCATTAAAAAGAAAGTATTATCTCATATGTAAATGCTGTATTCCTTAAAGCAAAATTTGGCTAGGAAAATTCAAATATCCCCCAAGAGACACTACCAATTTAGGATTAGCTAACAACCGACTGCGTTGCAGCAGGTCCAAACAGAGTGAATAGCTGAAGTCAAACTTGACTATTTAAAGATTTTGCCTAAGGCCCACACTGCTCTGCATTCAGTACAAACAACTTTCATCATGGGCACAAGCTAATAAGACAAACATGGTAGAGCTGAGAATCTATGTAAACATTCATCTTTTGTCTCCTGGGTAGATAACTTACTCACTCCTGCTCTCCAAAGTACAGGTGGTTAAAACAAGGGCAAGCTTAAAAGTGTTCTTCGTAAGAGCATAGTACCTACACTCACTCACCTTTGTTTCAAGGCTGGTATTTCTGTGGGTTCTGGCTCAAGTATTTCATAGGCCAAGTTCACATCCTCTGTTTCCCGAAGCAAAGCATAAATGGGCTCAATTTGTTCATTAAATCTTGCCAAAAGTGTGCGTGCATCTTTTTTGGGCATTGCTGATTCATCTTCTTCTACCTCTGTATGGCAAAATGTACAGCGGAAAGTTCCTACGGAGAAAACAAAAGTCTCAGGTCAGGCAAGAGAAATTCTTAAGACTAGCCTTTAGCAAACAGTTTATATCTCCATCCTCCTCTAACATGTTATTATTAAAACTTTCAAATACAGAGAAGTTGAAAGAATTTTACAGTGAACATCCACATGCCCACCAATGAGATTCTACAATCAACATTTATCATATATCCTTCCATCTATCATTTTTTATACATTTTAAAGTAATTTCACCTCTAAATGCAGCACAACAAAGTTATTAATCATATTTCTAACATGTTTATACTTATTTTAACTTAAAACCAAAATCTTTACAACTTACCACTCAAACCTGTACCCTTCTCCAATAGCCTTCCTTTTGCACATTACAAATTGGGGCCTGCATTATGAGGAAAACCAAGTAAATACCTAAAGCCAAGTCTCTAGGCATCCTGTACATTGTCACAGGCTATTTCTTTAAACTTATTAACCATTTATATCTAAACAAATTTAACCAATCTCTTCCCAAGTTAAAGTTCAAGAAGTCTTTATTGTTCTCATTTCTATATCCCTGACACTCAACTTGTAACTAAATTAGTAATAATTCCTTAGAGTTCCTTAGAACAGCTTAGATTTTTCATTTCTGCTGTCATTTCACTAATCTAGGCCCCCACTACTTAGACTGAAATAGCTGCCCTGATCTGGTCTTTGAACCCCTACGTTCTCACTCTCCAACTCCAATCTTCCTCTGCCACCACTTTTGTCCTCTCATCTCCCTGCTCTTCTTAAATTCTATCCAGTGGCTGAATTTCTAAAGTCAATAGCATCTAAATTTCTCATCCTAATACTCAAACCCTGTATAATTTGACCCCAAAACATCATAACCCAACCACAGTCCTTGACCTGCCAAGTAAATTCCAAACACTTGAGAGATGATATCCTAGACATTAATATTTATTTTATTTGTATAGTGCTTCCTGTGTATAAAATGCTTTCAGGTACACTTTTTTGATCCTTATACCAATTCTGTAAAGTGACATCAGAACTGAGGCTCTGAGGAGTTTTGTGACTGGTCCGAAGTCACACAGCCAATAAAAGTAGTTACAACCTTTCGGCCGGAACCGCCATCTTCCAGTAATTCGCCAAAATGACCAACACAAAGGGAAAGAGGAGGGGCACACGCTACATGTTCTCTAGGCCTTTTAGGAAACATGGAGTTGTTCCTTTGGCAACATACATGCGAGTCTGCAAGAAAGGTGATATTGTGGACATCAAGGGAATGGGCACTGTTCAAAAAGGGATGCCCCAGGCAAAACTGGAATAACTACAATGTTACCCAGCATGCTGTTGGCATCGTCGTAAACAAGCAAGTTAAGGGAAAGATTCTTGCTAAGAGAATTAATGTACAATACGAGCATGTTAAGCACTCAAAGAGCCGAGACAGCTTCCTGAAGCGTGTGAAAGAAAATGTCAGAAAAAGAAGGAAGCCAGGGAGAAGGGTACTTGGGTTCAGCTGAAGCGCCAGCCTGCCCCGCCCAGAGAAGCACACTTCGTGAGAACCAATGGAAAGGAGACTGAGCTGCTGGAGCCCATTCCTTATGAATTCATGGCATGATAAATGTAAAAAAATAAAATAAAAGACCTCAAGGCTGTAAAAAAAAAAAAAAGAAAAAAAGTAGTTACAGCACTGTTGTATACCTTGTACTTACTAAGTTATTGTCAACCCTGTAAGGTTAGTATAATTATTGCCCATTTAAATCTGTAAAATTCAGAGGTTCTAAGGGGTTAAGTAACTCGCTCAAGGTCATACAACTACTAATTGCATGTGGGGGCAGGATTCAAACCCAAACTATTATACTGAAACTTATACTCTTACATTACTTAACAGTTCACACCAATAGTCCCACTTGGATCTCCAGTTTGGTTCTTATTCCCAAAGCCAGAGATATGCATCCTTCATTTCTAACCCAATTTACCTGAGGGATTAAAAGAGATCACCTATGTCCTTCGTGCCTGGCACACAGTAAGCATGCAAACTTTTAGCTTTAAAAAGCTCTATATGTGATTGATACATAACCCCCTCCAACCCCTCTTTTCCTGGTAAGGAATAAGTAAACTAGGCATCTCTGCCTCAACATAACATTAGATTGATCTTACTGACATATTTCAAGTAGAATAAGTTTCTTTGCTGCTTCTCACACCAAACAGCCAATAGCATGTAAATTCTTTGTTCATACCCTTTCTAAAATACTTTTCGTCCCTCTTCCTGCTGGCCGAGTGGTACCTAATCTTTTACATCTATTCCAAATAAGTGAGAAAGAGAAAGGAAAGCAGCTCTTCACAGCTGGGAGGTGGCCTAGCACTCATAGCTAGGTTGTGATATTTTTCTGTCAGACAGAATCTCACAGATCACCAACATCAGATGAGGTAGGTCTTCTATGTGCATGATGGAACTGGGGCAAAACCAAGCCTGTCAGAGTCTGAGTCTGAGTGCAGATAAAAGCAAGGTCTCTGTACAACCACAAAAAACCCCCAGTTAACATCAGTGACTGATGCTTCTTTACGAATTAGAGTTCTAGCCTCACCCTGTCCTTCTCATCTCCTATAAAAGATTTAAGACACTCAATCATAGAATTATCCCCTCTCTTTAACAGCACCCAAACACAGCAAACCTCCACCATTTCCATAATCCTTCCTCAAATTACCTAACAAAAGCCCAAATTCTCTACGTCTGTCCACCCTGATCTTACTGAGACACTCCAAGTTTCCTCATGGTGTATGGCTTCCCTTGCTACAGAAAGCATCAATAAACCCAACTTTGTTTACCTATGGGTGCGTACCTGATGGTCTTTGACTAATGGACACCAGCATAAAGACTCTAGCTTAAGTAACTAGACAAGGATACTATCTACCAAAATAAAGAAAGAGAAAAAGAACAAGTTCTTTTTGCTTTGTAGGGAAAAGATTAAAAGTTGCCTTTAATATCTGAGTCCATATAAACCACCGGCCATCAAAATGGTATGTTAGAAGCCAACTTATTATAACTGTTTAGAGCTCAAGAATAGGGGGTTGGAAATTTCGACAGATGAATCAACAACATGGAGGTAACTAAAGCCACTAAGTAGATCAGAGTAGTCAAAGAGGCTAAGAGAAGAGAGCATAGGAAGTCAAGGTATAAACCCAAGGAAAGAAGCAGCCTCGAGACAAATGGTACAACCAGAGGGACAGGACAATGTTTCAAGGAGGAAGTGGTACAGTGTTAATTTTTCAAGGTCAACAAAAATAGAAAACCAGATTTTAAGTTTAGTAACAAAGGATAATTGGTAACCTTTAGCTAGAGAGGTTTTAGTTGGTATGCTCCCTTATTCTCTGACTATTCCTGGCTGCTTCAGCCTCTTCTCTTCAACAGAAATATAAAGCATAGAAACTATGTGAAAGAGAAAAAATAAATCATTCAAGTGAGGTCTAAAATCAGTTCTCAAATACCTGCTGAATTAAAAACACACATACACACAAGTTGGGTGTCCCACTTGGGCTCAGGTCATGATCTTGCAGTCCATGAGTTCAAGCTCCACAACTGGGCTCTGTGCTGACAGCTCAGAGCCTGGACCCCACTTTGGATTCTGTGTCTCCCTCTCTCTCTCTTTCAAAAATATACAAACTTTTTTTGAAAGTTAAAAACAAAATAAAACACTGATGCAGGACTTGGGTTCACTGTTGAAAGACTGGCACTTATAGAGACCACCACTGAGAACTAGAGAATAATGCAGAAAAATTATCTAATTCAGTAGTTTTCAAAAATATTTTTTAAGGAAAGAATCCTCTTCTGCAAGTGAAGTACCTAACAGATAAACCTAAAAGCAAGTGCTCTGGTTAGGTGCAGAAAGACAGCTAAGACAAACAGTAACACTAGAACTCCTTTCAATGTATTTCTTCAAATCATCACTACCCAGCCTCCCTAAGGTCTGGCACCAGACACACTTTGCTGTAGAGCCTTTGAACTTACTGTTCGCTCTGCTGGGACTATTTTCCCTCCACATACTCAAATGGCTGTCTCCTAACTTACTTCAGGTCTTTACTCAAATGTCACCTCAGTGAGGCCTTCCTTAGCCAATAATATCTAACATTTCACCACTGTACTGTCCTTTACCTCCCCTTAACATCTGTCACCATCCAACACATATTATTTATCTAGTTTATTAAATTGTCATTAAAATTGTCATGTTACAACCAAAGTTTTAAAAAAATCCTCACAAATGTCCCATTTCTTTTAAAGACAGTATATATTCCAAACTTCAGCTTTAAGTAAACAAATCAACAGGCTTGTCAGTGTAGCTCCTCCATATAAAATAGCAATGCTTTTGTTTTGGGAAAAGAGAAAGAGAAAAAGATTACTGTTACAGCAGGAAATCTCAGAATAACAGTCTATTAACCCCCCCCACCCCCCAAATGGGGGGGAAGAGAAGATGGTAGGTAATCATGAGGAATTCCAGCCTCATCCAAGTAAGTTTCCAGAGCCATGCTTAATTGAGTCTAAGATTTAACAAGAGTTATTTACAGCAAGGCCTATTTTGCAGTTCTGAAAAGAGTGGCTTTTATATTACTATTAGGAACTGTGGAAGATCTGTGATTTTTACCCTACTTGTAAACGAACAAGTTACCCTGTGGTTTCATGGATTCTGGAGAAAGACATACAATTTCTAGGTCAGAAATAAAGAACTATATTACTCATGGCAATAGGAGTAGCCAGTTTCAGCTTTTGTGCCAAATCTCTGAGCCCCAATTCCCACCTGGTGACACAGAGAGGGCCAGGTGACAACTGTACATGCTGTAGGCTGTGTTACAGGAGACTCTGAAGTTAAGGAACTCAGCTATTTTATAATGGGCAAAAACAAGCCTGTCCTCTGCTCTAGAGGGTGATGTTATCTTTACTATCTTGGACACTAAGAAAACATTGTCTGGAGAAAGACTCTATTTTTATTATTCTGAACAACAGGCAAACTTGCCCTTAGCTAAGGAG